GTCAAGGACAGAAAGGCAGATGTGGCAGTGGAAGGTGTCAAAGCAGTTTAGAGAGAAAAACAAAGTAAAGAACAAAAAAAAAAAGATTTATCGATTATTAAATTAGTCATCGATTATTTTAATAATCGATTAGTCGTCGACTAATCGTGGCAGCCCTACAACAGAAACCAGAAGACGTAAACCAGCATCATAAAGAAGCAGCTGATACTTCATGTACAGTTTATAGTTTATTTGTGTACAGTCTCTAGCACATGTACGTAATCTTGTTTTCATTGTGTATATGTGTGTGCGCGCGTGTGTAGGACATCAACGCCCATGCGTGCGTGACAGGAAAACCCATCAGCCAGGGAGGAATCCACGGCCGTATCTCCGCCACCGGTCGTGGAGTTTTCCACGGCATCGAGAACTTCATCAACGAGGCGTCTTACATGAGCATGCTGGGCTTCACGCCTGGCTTCCAGGACAAAACCTTTGTCATCCAGGTACGACAACACAGGACTTTTTGTTTGTTGTTTACAGTTAGTTTCTGTCTGCAGCGGTTCTCATGTGAAGTCAGGATGAAAGTTTTATCTTGTATATAAATCTGCCATCTGTTTCAGCCTGGCCCTGATCTCTTTGTACCAGTGAACAGTGAGCTGATGGTTCCCCTCTTTGTTTGTGGAAAATGATGAGTCAGTAAGAGAGGAATGAGCAGACAGAAGGAACCGGCCCGCCCTCTGTTCTTATTCCTGCAGCCTTTTCCGACAGTTTAAAAGAGTCTTTGATAAGTTCTCATGCTGAAATCCATTCAGTTTAACATTGTCTCTGTAATAAATATGATCAATACGATGAAATTAAACCTGGAATGAACATAAAAGCTCTTCTCAAKCGACAGATGAGTTTGTGAAAGAAGTATTTCTGCTGACACATATTTTTTACTTTCAATCATTGTGTGAGAGTTTCTCACAAATCATAGACTCTTAAAACTTAAACCTTAACTCTTGCGTCAGACAACCCTCAGCTGTGGCCTCTGCTGTTTTCCCAGAAAGCTTTCTATAATTATCGCTTTTGAAGACAACAGTGCAATTTGATATTCTAGTCTGGCTCTGCATGTTTGGATGCATTTCACTCTGCAGCGTGTCTGTTGGGGAGCTGCAGCGTGTTTGGATTTTGCTCCAACATGAAATGAATCTATTTTTATTTCATAATTTTTTTTCTCATTGGTTATTTGCGTGAGCGATGACGGCACAAAGACATTACTGAAGAGAAGTAGGGACAACAGCTGATTCATGATGTGGATTTTCAACAGTCTAATCTGTGTRTGTGACCGAGGATTACTTTGCTCTGAGATTAGATTTCCTTAGAGGTTTATCAGTGAGAATGAACCGAGTGGATTTCTAGTACGGTATTAAGGGCATGTTCTTCTTTGCGATCACACTTGTTTTTCTTTTTTTAATCTGTAGAGAACTATGCCTTTCCAATCTTGTCATAATGTYGCAACAGCAGATTACAAATACTTCTCTGTATGCAGCATACATAAAATGGACTCCTTTCACTTTATAGTAAATAATTGTTGTAATCGGCCTCGACCACATGGTGGCACCAACATATAATTACATGAAGCTCCACCTCTTCAGTAAAATAGGGTTTAACATTGTTTTGTTTCTTTTTAGATGTTCTGTAAAGMTTTATAAGAAATCAAAATTTGTTGGATTGAAGTGAACTTATTAGRATTTTTTTTGATTTCTCGCAGGGCTTTGGTAATGTGGGTCTTCACTCCATGAGGTACCTGCACAGGTTTGGTGCCAAGTGTGTGGGTGTTGGTGAGATTGATGGAGCCATCTACAACCCAGACGGCATGGAYCCCAAACAGCTGGAGGACTACAAGCTGGTACCAGAACAGCTGCCCTTCCTTCCTGCACTCCTATCATTTCTTGACATAAGATGAGCTAATAATAAAAGTCTTGCATGAGAGGCAGTGGGCAGTATGAGTCAAGAAATATTTAGAATTATTTTTATTTTTTTAATCAGTACTTACCTCTCTATTTTGCTTTCATACACATAATCTCACTGTCACAATTTATAGATTTATTTTTCTTCAGAAAATGTAAATATGTTAAATATTTTTGTTACTTTTTTGCAGCAACATGGCACCATCGTGGGCTTCCCAGGAGCCAAACCTTATGAAGGGAACATTTTGGAGGCTGACTGCCACATCCTGATCCCAGCCGCCGGAGAAAAGCAGCTCACTCGCAATAACGCCCCCAGAATCAAGGCTAAGGTMAATGTTTGAAGCTGCTTTGTTATCTAAATTTATATGTATAAGTTAACCTGTCGTCATCGAGTGCGTGTTTTTATCAGATCATTGCTGAGGGTGCCAATGGACCCACCACCCCAGAGGCTGACAAGATCTTCCTGGAGAACAACGTCATGGTTATTCCTGTAAGCAGACATACACGCACACAGAAGTGCATTTTTATTTCTTTTTATTTTATATTTTAGGGAAAACATAGTCGGTCATGCACAGCTTGCTGCTGAACACAGGGCTGCCAAAACCATTGTTGATGTTTATTTGTTGGTCTTTGGACGACCACTACGTGGTCTRTCAGCCACAGACCCGGTTTCTCTGAATTTCCTGTCAAGATCTGCAACAGTGGTGTGTGAAATTGCTTGTCTGTCTGGGTGTGCATCGTTGAACTCTTTAGCTATGGTCCGTAAGCTTTTATTCCTTTCCCCGATTGTCCGAACCAGCTCAATCCTCTCTTGTTTTGTCAATGCCGTTATTTGTTCCATCTTCACCTGTGAAAAAACAACAAAAGTTTTGATCTTTCTGTGTAGATGACTTCTGAACCACAAGAGATATTGCACGTCTGATTGCAGCAACCCATTTCTAAGACAATTCTGGCCTTTTTCATATGCTGYATAACCCCTACCATTTGAAAATTTTGACTAATCCTGTATGGAAACTTTCAAGATGGCAGCCATGTTCAGGACATGGCCTGGGTTATTCAAAAATTTCATTTTCCTTTTTTTATTTTTATTTTTTAATTTTTTAGATGTTCTGGAATACACAAAACTGATTCAAATAAATCACACAATCCTGATAAAGCCGGGTAACTTTTTAACTGTAAAACTATAAATAATTGTTGTAGAGGAATGTTTATGCATCAMCTATAAAACTGAAGTTTAGTTTTGTATTCCTGAGTGTTACCAAAGACCACTATGAAAGCACATGAGAACAAAACTTTTTTTAAAGCTTGTGTTTTGAGATGTTTTAATGTGTGAAAATAAAATGTCGGTTTTTTTCCCTCTGACATAAAAATGTTATTTCTTTAAAAATCAGACCACAAAGTCAGTTTTTGACTTACCTTACATTTTAAACTTTTTGTTTAAAAGTTTAGTTGTTTGTTCTTGCAGGACATGTACCTGAATGCTGGTGGTGTGACCGTGTCTTACTTTGAGTGGCTGAAGAATCTCAATCACGTCAGTTATGGAMGACTGACCTTCAAATACGAGAGGGACTCAAACTACCACCTTCTCAGTGAGTTACAAAAATAASCTGCAGTCTTAATCTTCAAACAATCGAGGTCATAAATCAATTTCAAGAAACTCGAATCAATAAGGCATCAAGGGCAAATTTTAAAAAATGTAGATAAGAGACAGACACATTTTCTTTTATTTTTTTTTGTGTCTTGATTTTTGGATAAGTGTGATTTTATTTTAAACTACTCTGTCAGATATTCGAGTGGAATTGTCATTTTCAAGCTTTGTTTTTTTTGTGTCCCCCTAAAGGGACTATATCAAAGTGATGCTTATTATTCTTATTGCTTCAAAAAAGCCGTCAAAAATTAGTCTCAGAAAAGTCTCCCTCAGTGGCCCTACTGATAATTGATCATATAAGAWCTATGGAGCTTATGATGTATAACTTACATTTCCAACAGCATAGATGGGGAAAAATACTGGATAAAATAGGACTGTTTTTATTTATCCTATAATAAGTGACAAAGTTGAAAAGATGCAATATGTACCAATAAATTCCTTCATAGTTGTCTTATTTAATTATTTTATTTATTATTTTCTTTTCCCTTTGTGTGCCCTAAAAAACCTGGAAAAAAAAGTAGAAGAATTTTATTTATATGCTGGTCTAATTAATCTTTTTGTAGCTGCTCATTTTCAAACCAACTTTATTATTTTATTACTACATATAGGATAGAAATAAAAAAGGTGAGCAAAAAAATAATGACAATTAATGAACTTATTCTTACCCAGTTGAGTGGTTCAGGCAGGGATAACGAAGATGCTGCTGTGCAAGTAGAAGGCTCAAAAGAAATAATGTCTCTTTGCAATTTGTCCTATTTTATACTTTTTCTGTAGTCCAGATCCAACCAATCGYAGTGTAGTAAAAGATGATCACCTTGTATAAAAATGTCACTTTGGAACCAGTTTTACTTGATTAACTACCAGGTATTCATTGTGAAAATATGACTGGGATTGCTATATGGAAAGTATTTCCTTCCTTGTGTTCTTTTTTTACTATCTTTTGAGTAAACTACATGTTTTAGCAAATGAGTGCTTAATTTCACTTTTCTTTTTCTCGTTTCTTTGTTCAGTGTCTGTGCAGGAGAGTTTGGAGAGGAAGTTTGGAAAGCAGGGTGGGCCCATCCCCATCGTACCTACTGCTGACTTCCAGGCCAGAATTGCTGTAAGTAACGTTAATTGTCATAAACACTAAATGTATAACAAATAATTTAGCGTGGGCAGCTGTGGCTGCAATATAACTTACCATCATCAGTGTGTGAATGGGTGAATTATTGCAATTGTAAAGTGCTTTGAGGTCTGATGGGGCTTGATAAAACACTATATAAGTTCTGACGATTTACCATTTTTGTGGTTGATCAACACTAGGACACAATGCTTCCAGGAAATGGCCTCCCTTGCCCTTCTTTATATACAAATGTTGATCACATATGCTGTTTTATTAGACATAGTGTTTTTGTATTACTTTCTCTGTGAGATGAGTTATGTGATTAACATATAATCCTAATTTGCAGGGTGCTTCTGAGAAAGACATTGTTCACTCTGGGTTGGCCTACACAATGGAGAGATCTGCCCGGGTAAGAGTTTAAGAGTGAAAACTGTACAATATTTCATTTTAAAAAATAAAAAATATATATTGGAGGGTGACCATCACTCTTTAGCTGACTGGTTAACAAATGTCTAAAGGAAAGTCGTATTTTCAACATTGTATATGGCTCAATTCATGGAAACCAAAAGAAACGAAACCAAAAGAAACGAAACCAAAAGAAACGAAACCAAAAGAAACGAAACCAAAAGAAACTAAACTAAAAGAAACGAAAAGAAAACATGCAGGATAGTGGCTCCCGAGGACCAGGATTGGATATCTCTGACTTAACTCAATCCACAGTGGCTAAACACCTCACTCTTTTTTTTAAATTTAGAAAAATGTTGTATAAATCTATTTTCGCGTCTCATTTGTTGGTTAATTTCCATCAAAAGAATATTTATAAATTACACTTTAATATAAGGCAAAAAAGTTTTTTATGTTTTTTTTAAGAAATGCAGTAATATATATGCCTTATTTTTTATAGTTGCAAATGTATTTTTTAAAAACTTCACATTATGATGTAGCCTGGTAAAAAACCAGCCCCTTGTTCTACGCTTTGCTTCGTACAGGGGGTCTGGACTCTCGGCTATTGGGAAGCGATTTCTTGCTGGAGGGGTGGCCTTTGTTAAAGTTTAAAAAGATTGGATCTGATTTATCCAATCACTAACGTTTGGCCGTGACGTATGCAGTGTGCCAGCTTAACCGTGAAGGAAGCTAAGCTAAGAAGCTAACCGGACATCACGTGCGCTGTGAACAACCATCCCTCTACTGAAAAGAAAGAAGCACCAAAGCTGAACAAGGTGGCTGTATAGCAGTGCTGCAGGCTTTGTGAGAGAAATGAAMTTTATTTTGGAAGCCTTGTCAACATGGCCTGAATGGCTTCATTCACTTCCTCTGCTGCCGTTCTGTTTGCTGATTGGCCCGGTTGACATTCTATCAGAGAAATCCTTGACAGATGGAACAGAGAAGGGGAAACTAGAATTGAGCAGAACTGTGTTGGAAGGCGAGGGCCAGGCTAATTATGATTTGGTATTTGAACATCTTTAAAAGGTCAAAATTGATGAATGTGGTATAAATCCAACTCTTGACTTATCCTTCTCCTGTAGAAACATGTTTGTCTAAACTACATAAGTTTATGATAGTTTTGTTTGTTCTTTTTGCAGCTKTTATTATTGTACACAAACCATTTATGATCCCTTTGCCCTTGCAGCAAATCATGCGTACGGCAAGCAAGTACAACCTGGGTTTGGACCTGCGGACGGCCGCCTACGTCAACGCCATCGAGAAGGTCTTCAAGGTCTACAACGAAGCGGGGCTCACCTTCACATAAACAACCCGTCACGACTCTGCACTGTTCTCCCATCCTCCACCCTCCTGCTGTTTACCCCCCTGTACGGCTTCCCTCTACCTCCTAAAACAGCCTACAGTACATATCAGTTTACCACTGCTCGCTGTGCTTTCATTAACACACACACTCACACACACTCAGCAACACACCAGTTAGCTTAGTATTGTTCCTGTGATATTGTGCTGCCATCATATTCCTGCAGCTCTATTAAAAAGCCACCCTGTTCTTTGTTTCTGACTGAAGTTGAGCAGAGGTTCCGCCTTCAGCAGTCATATAAATAAATGTTAATATAGTTGTATAACAAGCCATGTCCACAGCGCTCATGTCCTAATCGATGTATGCATGTGTGACCTTTGTGTTGCAGTTGTAACAGTTGATGCCACTAAAGATGCCTTATATGAGGAAGAGGTCGGACCCTAAAGGGAGCTGACCACTTCAGCCTAATTTTAATTCAAAGGGATTTAGATTTGTGAATATAAATTAAATAGTTATTTTAATTTGTCCTCCTTCTCTGACAGAGTAAAAAGTTAGCATGAAGTTGTAGGATCTGGTTTTTTTTTCTCCCTTTAAGTATTTTTGTTTTTGTCCAGCTACTCATTAGATGCTCTTCTTCTAATTTCTTTCACTTTCTTTTATACCAGTTGCTTTTTCTTCAGCGCAGCTTCTCCTTGACTTCTCGAAAGAGGAGCAGAGATGGGCRCCGTCTCAGATTAACCGTCCTGTTCTTCAGCGTTAAAGATTTTGGAGGAAATTCCTTATTTTTATTGTGCTCATTTTTTTGGTAAACCAATAAAATGTTCATACRAATGCATGGACTTTTCTTCAATGATCAAAAATTGGTAACGAGGGCGAAAAACATGGTATTTGTAATTAAATTTGGCTTCTTTTTTTATTTATTTTAGACATCAAAGTTGACACAGAGCAAATGAATTCTCAACACCTCAGCTGGATTTCAACAAAACCTTTTTATTTTCACAGGTACTGTTTATAAAATCAGCGAGTCTGAGCTGATGCCAACTTAAAACATGGTGCACGACTTTGGGTATGTGTGCATATGTTAGTATAGGGGTTGTGTGTTTGTGTCTGAGTGCCATTTCTTCATAAAGCAACATGCAGTCATCAGCTTTAATTGGGCTCCAAGTAAAAATTCAGCTGGCTGAACCTGTTCTAGAACACACACATATTGTCCATACAGATTGTATCTGAAGTGAATGGTGGCATGATGCTCTAGAAGCGAAAGAGGGAATCTGATTGGCTGAGACGTAAAATAGACACCGATGAGCGATGAAACCCAAACCTTCATTCCTCTAGAAATAAATGCATCTGATTTGCAGAAAGCTTCATATTTAAAAGTCAAAATCTGAACCAAACCAAACATTTTTTAAAATATTAATTAATATGCTAAAACCCTTCCTCTTATAAATCACAGATAACAGTCTGCAATTTTCTACATTTGCATAGAGACTTTAGGATCTTGCTGTTAAAGATAAGCATCTTCATTCCTAACAGTGAATTTGCACATTTTGTTCTACGTTAAATAACTTGTGGCCTTAAAGTACATTAAGTAGATGTCAACCTTTGACCCAAAGATTAACTTTAAACTCTTAGTGAACCAAAATCTAGTTGACTTTCTAATACATGCAGTAATCGTGACAAACTCACTAAAATGTGCACAAATATAGAGTAAAATTAGTAACAATATATATGTTTACCAACCCACGGGGATGCCCATGGTGAAGCTTGTGGGCCATTTGTGGTCTGAGACAGGAATTTAAGGCCCGTGGGCTTTAAGAGGCCGACTTGAACAAACAATTTTTACAAGTTAGGTGATATTTTTTAGAATTTTTAGTTTGAGCAACAAAACCACTTGAACACCAAAAACCTTTACCAACTTTCACCAAAAACTAGATTTTTGGTTAACCTGTCATGAAACTTGTCTAAATATACAGTTCTCGGAGAATAAATCAGACTTTTTATTTTTTACATTAAGCTGCTGCTTCTTTATTTAACTCCTTGGTAATGAAATGTGCTCAGAATGGCCGATTAATGATAAAAATACATTTTTTTATAGTGACCAATATGAACCGATCCACCTCAAACCAGAACATCAAATATGTCATAAACTGCAGTTTGTCGGGAAATACATAGAAACAAGTCAGATGATTCTAGACATTTTCTCCCAAAGCCAGTTGGATTTATTCTGATATAGATTATAGATTTGAATTTTTCGGATTGTTAAACGCCTTCTGATATTTCTTCTTTCACTTTTTCACACTCAAAGTTACCAACAAAGGTTTGAAAGCTCACTCAAACTCTAATGCATCAAATCACTTCACAGCTCTGCTCAGATGAATTAAAAATGTTGTGTCTAAAGTGCTGAGGCAAACACACACACACAACTACACCCACACAAACAAAGCCAGACTTAGCTACACAGAACAACTGATCTACAACACATCTGCTCATGCACTCTACAGCAACTAAAACACGAGTAACAGAGTGAGATCTGTCCTCCATGCACGATTCCCTGCTCTTCCCTGGAGAATGAGTTTACACATCAGCAGCAACACAAGCGAGCACGAACACACACACAGACAGACACACACCCTCTTATGCAGACCCCCTCAGTTTCACGACTTGATTTTAACTGGAACAGGTTTTTCTTTATTTACACTGATACTTTAAACTGCAATCACTCATTCCTTTTATGTTTGATCCGCTGGTAATTTCTGTATGTAGGTGTGTGTTTTTTTATACGCCCGGTTAGGGTTTGTCTCCGTTGGGATTGTGTGAACGTGTGTGTTTGTGTTTGAGATTATTTCCATGGTTTTGGCAGGTGCAGGGTGGTGACAACATCGAGGTTTTATTGCAGGTTACACTGACACACAGTTAGCTACAGGCTGCAGAAACTTTCATGATGGGGTGAAAAGAGCGGGCGGTGTGACGTGACGTGGGGTGAGGGTGGCTGAGGTGCAGCATCTGGAAGAGTCTGTTCTGATTTTGGTTCCATAAAGTCACAAAAAAAATATGTTGGACATCTGGAGTCGGGTACAGCGAGGTGATGGAAGCAAAGGGTCCACAGATGACGGCTAAAACCCCTAGTGGAGAGAGGAAAAAGAAGGAAAATAAATAAAAACTCTCATAGTGGAAAATGTATCACTCACACTAAAAGCCAGTGTATCAAACTCAAGGCCCGTGTGCAAAATGTGGCCCTCCACGGCATTTTATATGGCCCGAGAGAGATTTAGAGATGTAATTAATGTCCTAAAATAAGTGTATGCGGCATTAAAGCCAGCATTGATCATAAACTAAATCTCCCAGAATACATGTTGATTATTTTAGCTGCAAAATGACAACATCCCACCACTAGGTGGCGATGTATAGAGTTTAAAAGTAGCTGGTAGTCATCAAAATTCGCCGTGCAAAATTTCTATTTCACTGCATCTTCACCATCTATTTTTTTCTACAGCATAGTCGTACTGGGAAGTGGGACTTTCCCACTTACAAGTCGTAAATTGAAACTGGAATACATCTCTTGTTGCAGCTCCCTGTGGGAAAATGGGAGAGTTTAGAATTCAAGATGGCGGCTACTCACCCCTACGGAGCCCGTCTGGTGACACAGAAAAAAAAATTATCATTTGGCCACGAGATAACGCTTGCACACATGATAATGTGTGCCAACAAGACAGTAACGCTTGCACTTGTGATAATTAAACACGTGCCCATGTGATAATGAATGTGGCCAGCAATGGGCTTGTTGTGAGAGATAGACATTATTGGCATCAGATTACGTATATCCTGCATTGTTTTTTCTTTAACTGTTTAAATATGCCTACATTATTATTATTATTATTATTATTATTATTATTATTATTATTATTATTATTATTATTATTATTTGGTGTATGCCAATATAAATGGGTCATCTTTCATTGTAGCCTAGGCTATTCATGAAATGACAATGAGTGCCCTGGTTGTGTGTCAGGAAACAGATTTTTACCGTGTTCCTGAATGCAGCTTAAATCGACTCCTTCTGCAGCTCAACTTTTGAAAGTTGAGCTTAAAAAAAATAGCATTTTCGACAAATAAACCACTCCAGTTGTCTCCTAGGACTTATTGCTGCAGCACATAAAGCTAAGAAATAGCTGCTTCATAAGGTGCTGACTTAGCAACATGATTCATTCTATTAAAATCAAAATAAATTAGTTTAACTCAGACTTGTCCATGTAAACAACGAACTGTCTGCACGGAAATGAGAACAATAATTAGCAATAATAATTAGCTGTATGACATAATTATTGCGTGCACACGCGTTAAGGACCCCACATACTCAGGTGTACTTCACAGACTCGAGGCAGCCGTCCTTCAGACTGGTCCGCATGATGAAATGGAGTCAAATTTTGAAGAGCGTCTCATGGAGGAGGAAACTTTGATACATCAATGAAGAATATAAAGACTTTCAGCAAGTAACAAATTCGTGGGAGGAAATAGCACAGATCCTGGGTAAGGTAGTTCTTTTATTTTTTTTTTCCTTTTGTTGTTTTAAAGCTAAAATGCAAACTGTCTCTTCCTCCTCATCCTTGACATCATGACTGAAATTGCGAGAAATTAAAGAATTTGTCAGGCGGTCAGTACGCTCGAGTATGTGCGAGCCTTTAGTCATTGCGTGTGCACAAGTTATTATCTCGTGGCCATGTGGAATGTCACTGGACGGGCTCCGTACACCGCAACTCATCAGTGAGTAAAACCTATTTTAATAGTATTTCTGTAGTGTTTATTCCACATTTATTCAGTCGTACACACAGTACTTTTCAGTGTTTTTAAGAGGACGCATTAAAACATTGTTTCCATGCAGGAAATACCACATAAAGCTCAGTTATTGTTCGTCAGCAGTGCTCAGCTGTAGTAAAGAGACAAGGAACAGGACGTTTTGTGTGTTTAGTCGTATTTAAACACAAAACATCAAAATTAATTACATCTGGTTCTTTGATGGCAAACATAACCCTCCTGTGGCCCTCGGTGAAAATGAGTTTGGCACCCCTGTCTGGAATTATAGCCATCTTAAGTTGGACTGACTTCAGTAATAGATTTATCAAACACTTTAGAGCTAAATAAAGTCTGTATGCCATTCAATTTCATAGAAATAGCTTCCTCTAACTTGTTTTCTCACCTCTCCTCCATCCCTGCCCTCCATTCCACCGTAGTCTCCCTGTGGGAGGAGCAGAAAAGAATGAGAACAAAATAAAACCCAATCAAATATCAACACGAGATGAAGGATTTTCCTGTAACAATGAAAGGACAGGGCGTTGGCAGGGTGGAGAGGCTCAAGCATCAGTCAGTTTGTGACACAATAAACCAGTTTAACTTCGACAAACATGCTAAAGATTTAAAGCTTAGAGTGAGCAAACAGCCAGTTAGTTGGTTGGAGTTTAGACAGAAATGCCTTATTTTAACACTCCAGGGACACTGATTTAACTGAGTTTAAGCAGGGTTTAAAAAAAATAAAATTTCTAAAGTGGTTTAATTGAAGTGGATGTAAACACAAAGGTGTAAATTGGTTAGAAATGAAATTATTTTTTTTATTTATTTTAGTTTTAAGCACACAAAAAGATGAGCATCGAGGACAAAAATGTTTTCAGATTTATAACTTTTGTAAACTAAAGTTATCAATTCTTAAAGAAAGGCATTGTCCATCAAATCTTTAGACAAAGAGTTTAGACAAAGCTCATCTGATGATGAACAGAAACAAAGTTATAGCTTTTCAGGTAAAAACTTGGAAATGTTAGTTTGAAAACATGGGATTTTGTGAAGTCCTGTGAGATGTGTGTATGGAGTATTTGTTGAGAATGACTCTCAGACTCTGTACATTTGACTGAGTTAAAGCCATTTTTCATTTGGAAACCACAACTGAAATGTCCTCATTTTGATGCTCACCGTTTGTGTTTGTGTTACTGGAGTGAGTCCCCACTAACACAACCAAATACAACAAATCTTACTTTAAAATGGTGACTCTGCAGGTGTAATGAATGTAACACAGACTATTTATTAGCATGCAAAACCTCCCCTTCCTATTTCTCTGTGCCCCAGCCCAACCAGTGTCGATCTAAAGCCAGAATCTCACTGTGTTGCACCGAAACATTCTCAGCAGAGTTTCCAAAATGTCTGGAAACATTTGGAGATTCTTATTTCGTTTGTGTGAGTCCCACATTTGTGTTGCATGGACTTTGAGCAAATTCAAAATAATTTAAGAAATTAGTAATAAAGTGTCTCCACAAGTTAAAAGCGAGCAGTGTATAACAACTACACAAGTTAGTGGTGTCTACGTTTGTCCAATCTCATCTGCAATCCATATTATGAAAGGTTTTCTGTGTGCTGTTGATTTTTGACTGACGTTGGGCTAACAGGCCTTAACTTGGGGACACCAAAAAAGATTCAAAATACAGCTGTACTCTGATTTGAAGCAGTTTTCATATTAAACTAATTAAGAGTTCCATTCAGCACTAGTGAAAGTGGACAGGTTGTTTCCCCTAACAGGAGGTGGGAACAATGCAGAGAGGCTACCTGCAGCACCTGGAGTGGTTTGTGCAATAGACAGAGCTCGAAACACCAAGAAGTTGACACAAAAATTGTCTGAATTGGTCATGAAATAAGGTAAATAATGTTTTGGCCATTTTAGTTTTAAAAAATTAATCTCAGCTGGTTTAACAGTGAAAACCCAAAAAAAAAACTGCGATGATTCTTCAACAAGCAACAAATGAACAGAATGTCTTTATTTCTTGAGCTAAATGGATGAAATTTTCAGGAGAAGTGGGAAATGCATGTTGGCTCATTATTAATTAATTCATTAATTAATATCTAAAACTGTACAATCTAAAACCACCATGCATTAGAAATAGGCACTAATAGTAAAACTGCATGAAAAAAATAGATTAATCGAGGATCAAAGAGAGTAATTTTTCAGTTTTGCCGCCATATTATCGTCATGTTTGGGCTCTTACAAAAACATAATTGCTTGATCCGATTATCATTAAAGTCAGTCAGTATTTAGATAAAATATCATACCTTTGACTGAGTGCTGTAAGCATGAACATCTTTTTAAGCATCTTTTTAAACTGGTGACATCGCAGATAAACTACAAGAAGAATTGAAAGAATCATTTTGATCAAAAATGAGGTGAAAGGCTAACTTCTTTGCTGTGTCATACTGAAAAAATCGGAGTGAAATACTTCTGGGGATCAATTTAAAATGCAATAATTGGAGGGATGTCTGAAAACACTACTTTCACTGCAAAACATAACCCCACAGAACGTCAGTGTCACACACACACACATATATATATATATATATATATATATATATATATATATAGTAAATCCCTTGGAGACCACTGTTAGTTACCACCATACCCAATTTCTTCTTTATATGGCTAAAAATGGCTGAGTCATGGTAATTTTTTGTTGCTCCATTTTATAGAAAACGTGGAGAGTTAAAATGGTTGCATAAGGTTCGGATGACAGACAAGTAGTTTTGCAAACTTCCTGGTAAAGTTAAACCAAAATATTGGTGTGATTTTGAAATTTGTGTGATGTTTGAATGAGATTTTTTTTCTCTACTTTCATACAATTTTTAGTCCCCAACTTTCTAACATCCACAGTCAGGTGAGATTCCAGCTTAAGGCCCCACGCTCTGCTCTGACCAATAGGTACCTCGTAAATAGGCTCCTCCTATCAGGAAAACACAAATGAGACACAACATAAAACAACAACAACAACAAAAGGTGAGAACTGCAACACAACACAGCAACAGGACACACAGCAGAAGCTTTGCCACAACACAAAAACTGCATGCTAACACACAAACATGTTAAATGTCAGAACATTTAACATCTGATGCGTGAGGACGAACAACGGTGATTATTTAAGAGCTAACCTTTTTATAAACCAGTTTAGACTTGTAAACTACTTATTTGCTATTCAAAACTCAACATTTATAATGGTTTTAATCCTTTATTGAAGATCAATTGTGTATTTAGTATTTGTTTAAGATTGCTATTAACTTTATGCAAAATCTAAAATGCTAAAAACTGTCAAACTTGAGGATATAATGTGTAGACAGAAGACAAACTTGAGACGTTGGTTCAAATATTTACATCAAATTTAAAAAGGTTAGTAGTATAATAAATAGTAGTAAATGATAGATTTACAATAAAATCTAACAGATCAGTGTTTATATATATTTTTTATCTATATATATTTATAGAAGCCTAATAAAAGCACATAAGAAATTATCAGTGTATTTTTGAAATCCAGTTTGGTTGTCATTAGGGAAATGTCTCCATCTATTGGCTATTTTTAAAATAGCAGCTACAGTCTTACAGTGGTTCTCAAATACTTTAGCTTCCAAACTAGTTGTAAAAATATATATCTAATGTTTGTTCTGGCTTAGAAATGCACAAAACCCCTGAAACCTTTTGCTTGGTTGCGATGTTCAACTTTAAGGCGACTGACCTGACTGCTGAACCCGGTTGACGCAGCGACATTCTCAACTCCCTCGATGGTCGCCTGTGACACTTCGTTGGACCCTGCAACCGCTGTGTCTCCAACGATGGTGGTCTGATCTACAGTCTTGTTGGCCACTGAGAAGGATAGACAGGGAAGGTTAATACACACACACACACACACACACACACACACAC